AGCACACGTATCTAGTGCTATTACAAGTATTTATATATATATATATTAAAATGAATTAAATTACACCAAAATCATGAGTTAAAACCAGACTAATGTTGTTGAAGMAAGGAAAAATAAAAATATAAAAATATATTCATTACATTACGAAACAATTTATTAATATTGGTAAGCAAACCTTAAAAGTTAAAATGTAATATATCGTGTTATTATCTTCGAAGTATTTCACTGGGTGTTAATACATTTTATGTTGTACCTGCTCTCAACTTAGCGCTGACAACTAAATTGGAATCACAGAAATCAATAATTATGTCRCCATGTATGTAGTCACGTTGCAGTACTACACACATTTCTAATTTCAGGTATAGTTTCAAGTGAGTTTTTGAAGAACCCAAAGCATTGTCATCTAGTTTATTTTATTTTTTTGTTTTTGACAATAATTATTTACACGATTCGTTGATTGCACTCGACTGTTATATTATTGTTCGTTTGTACTATTACGCGTTGCGAGTACTGCATGTGTCATGCAGGAAACAATATTGATTCCCCCCTCCCCCCAAGTATCATCTCGGATATCAATGGATTTAACTTCATTTGTTCGTTTTATATTTCCTCAATACTACGTGGTATTTGATTCTTCCAGATAGTTTAGGTTATGTGAGTCCCTGAGTGGCGAAGCGTCATAGGAGACAATGAGATAAGGTCTCACCCACTTATAGAATATACCAACACTGGACAAATAATTTTACATTATAAAATATTTACAAATTTTACMGTAATTTATGCTGTAAATTAATATGAAGTATGTTTCAATATTTGTTAAAATCGGTTTTCATATTGTACATGCAGATATAATATTCTTATTAGATGCAKGCGATACGGCCGTGCGTACGAGCTGGCGATGCAGATCATTCCAAATATTATGGTATTATATCAAAGAGACTCTGTGGCGCAACGTCTCCCAATTCTGGACTCGCGGTTGAAGGGTGAATTTTAATGAGAGTGAGACTTATCTACATCATGAGACGCGTTTCGCCACAGTCATCAATTATTATTATCGACGTCGCCGTAGCGTTATTACTCCATCGACCGCTGCAAAGCGTAATAGGTACGTATTTATTTTTTCAATGTCTCTCCAACCAAAAACTCACGCATCCCAAATAACTGAGTCCTGTGTGGGTATATAATTACTATAAATACAGAGTCATGATAATATACCTATGTATTTCACGTGATTATTATTGCATCCGATACGAAAAGCAATCGTTAACGAATCGACTCCGTTGAATTATTATCCTAATAATATACAATATCGTAGGTTTAGAGACACCACCATCAAACAGCGATACGAATACGTTGTTATAATGCACCAAAATTGTCTGTATATAATATAAATATAAGTAATAACGATATTATTATTCCCGCCGTGTGCGAGCGAAAAAATATAAAATACATTATAATATTATATACATTATATATTTAGGTATCTTTATGCGCCTTTCTTTCCCCCACAGCTCCCTTCTCCGTCATACCGTCTCCATATAAGACATTTGTAGTATATTTACAATAATGATGTTTATAATATATTATTAAGTAGTTTTGCTCTATTCGTCTACAACACAGTGCAAATATTCGGTTAGTCATCGTTCCGGCCACAAAAAATATTTTTAATGCAATTTTCATTTTTTGCAACTAAAACGCTGTGATGTGTTATAATATGTTTTATTATGATGCGTTGCGTAATARGTATAGGTACCTACACAAAGTCGTTGTTGTAACAACGATTAGAAAGAAACTATACACATAAACTATGATATTATTGTAGCTCAGTCAATGCATTTCGTAACGAACACACGTCTACAACAGTAGAGAGAGACGACAATAGTTTATTAATACATGACAACACAAAACTACAATATCCCATTGTTTCAGCTGTGTGTTAACAAGTCAATAATTTTAGAGTTATAGACATAAAAAAATATCAAATGTATAATTATAGCTATACGCTCGAGAAACCTTTCTGATAGAACACAAACTTAAAATATAGAATAGAGCTCTTAAGTTGACGGTTTGTTTTCGTCATTGAAAATAGTCCYAAAATATTTTGAACAATATTTTATAAATTTTGATTTCACTCAGTTTATCAATGCACCTGATAGAAAAATCTACGTCCATCACTACGAATAATAAATAAAACGCACTGTCCTGTTGCTTCTGTGAGATGTGACATTTTAAAATATTTAATATAGAACTATTATTATTATATTTGTTATTATTATTATTATTATTATTATTATTATTATTATTAATTATTTGAAGCTCAGTAGTGTCTACAGTTAGTGAATACAAATAAGACCACGACACTTTTCTTCAATACTGTATTAAAAATTGAATTAGTTACTATTATTTAGTATTCAAATTTTCATTATTTTCCCTTCGTGTTCCTAACACACAAACCATATTACATAATATCTTACTTTACTTCGCACCAATTCATTCATTCACTCGAGTAAAATATAAAAAAAAAACACTGTCTATCAAGTTACAACGTTATAATAACATTACCAACAAATTTACATTTTAAAAACTAGATGGTTTTTTTTATCCGGCTATTATTAGATTCCATTGAAATTAATAGCGTTACGATATCGTGTTTGGTTTTCATCGAACATCGTTCATTAGTTTAATTTATTATAAATGACAAAAAATATCCCCAAACRGAAATTTTAACACTTGTATATCACTTTGATAATATATTACATACATATATGTAGGTACACAATAACGAGAGGAAGTTGTGGAGTGATCACTTTCACCAATGCCTCAAAGTCAGCATAAATTCGAATCTATAATAATAAACGGTAGGTACCTACCTAAAATTCTATTAAGAGAACATGATATACATTAATCGTGATGTCCGTATGACAAAAGTGGACAAGCTAATGAAAAATTTGAATTTAATTTAGGTATAATATAAATWAATAGTAAATATTAACTATTTAACTCTAGAAATTTATTTATATATATATTTATATATATTATGGATAAAAATTAATAACTTGACTCAATTATAACGTATAGGTATTTAATTTTTATCGTCACCTGAATACATGCATAATTTAATTATGCAACTTTCAATTTTTTCTTAAATAATAAATTACATGCATTATTCATCTACTGTAATACACTAATACTATATTTGGTGCAAAAAAGTATTTTTTTTTTATTCGTTTAATAACATCCAATCGGATTTAACAATATTGATTTTCCATACAGTCCTTTAGGCTCCCAAAAAAGGGAAGGAGGGTCGAAAGGACTCATGATACTGAGGCCTACACTTTCGAGGGACCCGGCGTTCGTGCATATAATGTATATTAAATTTTATAATTTATATTATATATATTCCAATATATTCCAATATATTATATGTGTACCAGAACTGTATATAAGTTGTATGTATRTACATTCAAATATTATACAGCATAAGTTATAACACTTTTAACAATCATACTATTTTATTTTTACCTAACAAATGATTTGTAACTTTTTTTCAAGATTTTAACTATTAAAAAACACTTTTAGTTTGTACTGTATAAATAATAATACACAAGTTTTCAATTTATAAAGGATACCTTTACATTTGTTGATATTTTATATCTATACATAAAACTAATATTTAAGGTATATTCATATCAAAAAATGAATTATTGTTTAAAAGGGGCCCGGATTTAGATCTACGGCCAAAAATATGATGTGGGGGGGAAGCTATACTTAACACAACAAACTTCAAATTGNTTATTTTATTTTTTTTGACAAATTATGCCACATAGTTATAATATTTATTATTTTGTTAAAAATTGCCTCATAATTATAATATTATTATTTCATTGACTTTTTCATATTATTTTGTTGGTAATTATTATAAGCATATGAATATTTTCTATAATTTTATACAAATTAGGTATCACATATTTTAATATGCCACTTATCATTATAACTATATTATTTATCAAAAAAAATAAAATAAAATAAAAACAAAATTTACACTAGCGTTAATGGTAAATTGAAAAATATAACATGTTTGTCAAAACCAATTACTAATATTAAATTATTGGTGTTGGCTACAGTCATTTAAAACTTTAATAAGTGGTTGTAATAAGTAGCAATGATATTATGTTTAAACAGCAATCAGGGAACACATTTTAACCGGAAAACAATTTTGGCACACCTTAGTTCCATACTAAACAATCCGTGAACCAATTCAGACATTTCGAAACTATATTGTTAACATTAAACATAGTCGATATTATGTTAAATCTATATACTGCGAATACGTACAATACTGCAAAACTCAACGTGCGTAAAGTGGAACAAACTTGATAATATAATAATATTGTTTTCCACGAAGACAAACAGGCACACCCGCCGTGGCTCATAATATAGTAATGTAGTAATGTAGTATACGTAGGTATAGGTACCTATGATAATCTATTGCGATGAGATTTAAAACTACAATAACAACCTAACCTAATGAAAAGAAAAATAATGCTAAAAACAACAATAATAATATCAGTACATAATATGCGTTTGTATACAAATAGTTCAATAATCGCATGCGAATTGCAATACGTCCAAATTTCGTCCAGTCCACGGCCGTGTGAATGTGAGTGCGTGAGATATTCGACCGAACAATTGTGTGTGTACACAAAAAAAAATAAAATAAAACCGACAATAAAACAAAAAACAGCAAACGGAACGCAGTTCTAAAAAAAAAAAAAAAAACGCTGACGCTCGAGAGTCGTTTACGCCACGCAGCGCGCAAACGGGGCGGCAATAGAGGCACTCGTTCGTACAATAATTAATATTTTACATTATATTGTCTAATCCGTCGGCAAGCAGACGACCTAAGTAAGTTTAACAATATTGTTATTGATCTTCGTGAGCTACATCGTTCCTCTGTCGACTTTTCCGGATGGGACCGACGACGACGACGTGGCTGCTGTCGGCCGTCGCGATGATACTGTTGTCTGGCACGCTGTTGGGGACGATCTCGGCGCAACGACGACAAGTTACCGACGGCATCGGTGGCGGTACCGACGAAGACGATGACAACTTTTATGGCGGTGAGTGCTCCGACAACGGTTTAGTTGATTTTTTTATATATTCTGATTATACTTACCGATGTTTTTTCGACGGCCGATTCTTGCCTCGAATATTCATTTTAGTACTAAATAGTAAATGCTATCTATCAACAGGTATTTGGATAAGAACCTACGTTCTTCTTACTACCTATGTTGAATACTTGACAAATGTTTAGTCTTTTCATTAAACTCTCACACTCTGACTCAGCATGTCTTACAATGTTTGTAATTGTTGCAAAAATAAACGATTATCGTTTTACATAATAATATCACTGATATCATTTTTAATCGAACAATATTTTTTTAATGAAATTATTGAAATTTATAACAAAGGCTTACGTGATACCATTTACACAATAATACATCATAATTAAAATTAAATAGGTGTATTAAATATAACTTAAATAAATTAAATGCGTGTTTATATCTTGGTAGTTATTTTAAATTTGAATATAATATTAGTAATTATTTAAATAATAGGTAGTTGTCAGGTTTCTTAAAATTAATAATTATTTTAACTAGATAACCTGCTATATTTTCTCGATAATTTTAATTTAATTTGAAATACAATCGAATAAATCTTTATTGGTATTTATAATTAGAAAAGTGGATGCGATAAAAACAAAACCGTGCCTATATAAGTTAATTTACTGATTGACGGGAAGAAATATTATTTAAAATTTGTCTCAAATACTTTTTTTAATTAGTATTTTCAAAACCGTCAGGCCTGAGATCTGGTATGATATAATAATATAACGTAACTCATCGAACTGCAGAGTTACAGTGTACGATTAGACGAGGAGAAAGGAGTAAATCAAGGAATTAAGGCATGACGTATTCTTAAAAGTCTCAGATTTAAAGCCTAGGTAGTTATATATTTATCTAGAAGTATGGAAAATAATTAAAAATTTAATAAAAAAAATGAATAACGTTCTGCATTATCCTTAGAAGAAAAAAATTATTAGAATAATTCACGCCTCAGACACGGTTTATATACTGTAATTATTATTTATGCAAACGAATATTGTAATAAAAGAGCTATAAATACAGAGCCCATAAAGTTTATAATAGTTTTAAAATAGGTGTGCTTCGTCCTATTTAATTTCTCTGTTTTTTATAGTTTTATTTAATTTAAGCTTATAAAGAACTTAGATAAATTACAATACACTATAAAATATTAATGCTTAGTATATTACCTATTATTTATTTTAGAAGTGTGAATGGTGCTTTCGTTGAATTTCATAATGCTACCTATTCATATAGTATTTACCATATTATGTTTCATTTTTTTTTTTTAGTTAATTGATATATTAATAAGTATTAAATAAATATTTAAGTTTATTTTGGGAGAATTAGACGCCGAAAGAATTCTTTTTGAACGAGGAGCCTTTGATTAATTCTAATTCCTTCCAATAATCTATGATTTAGATCCGATATTTCTCAGCTCTTGGTGTATCTACTCTAAAATTTAGTTATGCTATTATGTATCTAAATGAAATATTTACCCATGCAGTGTAATAACTAATAATAGACCCGTCCAAATAAAAATTATTCAATAACTTGAAAACTTTTTGAAAAACGGAATGCGAAGAAAATAATAATATTATCGTTCACGCGTAGGTTCATCGTAACGCATAACCGAAAAATACTATAAATCTGATTGGCTATTTACACATAGTTACATTTCCTATTTCTAAAATATTAAATGGAAAATAGTTTTTGTTGATAATTAATTTATTATAATTCTATGGACATTAATTTACTGAAAATACTAAATGTTAGAATACGTCTTGTTCAAGAAATGATCGATCACTAACTCTTTGGCGCAGCATACATTAATTTACATGTATAATATAATAATATAGTCATCAACTATTTGGAACTTCACAACCTGCGAATTTTTGGAACACTGTTCATACTTAGTGATTAATGACATTCCGTTTCACGGAAAATCTTAACAAAAATATTCTGGACACTATAACACAATTTAATAACCTGTTTCGTATTTTAAATATAATTATGGAATGTTAAAATCGATTAGTTAAAATCTATATATGTAGATAGATTATGACAACGTATATCCAACCCAGCGTTTATTTTTACACTGAAAAATTAAAATGAAGTTATGTTTTAAGAGATTCAATGACATTTTCATACACTTGAAACAATCGAAAATAATACAAATTAGTGCTCTAAACATATTATTACATGTTTCTATGTGTCATGTGTCATGTATATATACAATTTATACATATATTAAGTTAAAGTCACAGCAATATAATATTTGTCTCAATCTTAAAAACAACAACATAGTCGACCATACCAAATTTGTCTTTTGAAGTTCCAACTTTCATGTTGTTAGCTTTAATATTATAGAGTTAATTGACCTACAATCAAACTTAAAAGTAAAAAATTATCTTTCTCATTGAATTTCTTATAATATTTTAGTTTTTGAAGCGAGTTTCAACATTTTTTAAATCTTAATACTTAATGTAGGTACTCAAAAATTTGCATAACAATATAAAATATTATAAATAAAAATCCATGAAAGAATTCAGATAATCTTCCTCTAAAAAAACAAAATATTAGTAAAATTCTTTCTAAAAATGTTGATATTTTTTAATTGTGCAACACGCAATATTATATACTTCAAATAAATACAATATAATTTAACCTGGTCTGTGGGCGATGGAAAAATATTGTGATGAATTAAAAATAAGCATACGCGTTGCTATTGATAAAACTTCACCTTATATTAATATAACAACCTGGATGGTATGGTTAAGTACTTTAAATGTATAGAAATTGATATGATTAAGAATGTCGACTTTGTTATCGTATCTTTTACCGTGTTTTAAAGCCTATATATTATTATGATAAATGATAAAATATATCTGGGGTCGTGAATGTTTAAATTATATACATTGATTTTATTATTCTATTTGCCTGAGTCTGCATGCCGTAATTGAATGATTTTATACAATTACATTTATGACGTATTTACTTTATAATGTTTTTACACACATATATATCTTACCTTATTTCTTAGCTTGAAAGTATGTAAGACTAAGTATATTAATAATGCAATAAGGTATTAAAGAGCTTGAAGTGGAAGTAAAATCTTTTGGAAATTGAAATGATATTATGTGAACACTTGGTCAATTTCTATGGAATAATGTAGGTAATATTAAAATAAAGTCAAAAGTAACAACTGGCACTACTATATTGAATTTAAGCAATTCCACTATAAGTAAAATTGACGACTTGGCTGGCTTTTGAATGATGGTAACAGACTGGCTGTAATTTGAAAATGGGGGTTCTACTTATTGACCTTTGGTACTTGTTGACAAGATTCATAATAATGTTGTTGTTTATTGTTAAGGTACATGGGTGTATTATTTTATGTGACAAATTTACAAAATAAGTTATTGTAGTATATAAATATGGTACATTATTGTAATTTAAATCATGTATATATATGTTACTTATAACATTAAATATTTTAGGTTCTGAACGGAGTGATGAATATATTGATTTTACAATGATATGTGTGTTTTTTTGTSTGTGTGTCTGTGTGTCTGTATACAGCATAACTAGTCGAAATAATGCTTCAATTTCAAACTTTAGGGGTGGTTTTCGATGTAAAAGTGAATATCCTTGGTGCAGTAAAAGGTCAAAAGTAAACATTTTCCAACAGTTTTCAAAAAAATTGAGAAAAACAACAAAAAATGTGACAGAAAAACTAGAATTTTTACGCAAAACCAGTTTTCGACCAAATCGATTTTTTTATATGGTCGCTATTCAAAAACTAATCACTGTAAATACTTGAAAATTTCACCAAATGTTTATATTATTGTTATCTATATACAGTTTAATTTTCAAAAATGTTTRACTTTTTTTGAGTTATTTATAGACCACTGACATTTTCGATTTTTATGAGAATTTTTATTTTGAAGTATCGGTAAAAAAATTATGGATGACCAAAAAACTTGAAAATTTAATACAAGTTTCCTTATGAGTTGTTCTTATTGTAGCTAAAAAATATTAAAAATCGTTAGTCACAATTTCTTTTATAAGCGTTTATAGTTAGGTTAGGTATAGCAAAAATGTGCAAGTAATTTTGAAGTTGAAAAATCATAAAATTTTTTGTGTTTATAACTAAGGATTAAAAATACAACACTAAGTTTTCCATAAGTTTTCCTTCAAGTAGCTATAGAGAAACCTCAAAGCATCGTTTTAGGAAGAATTTTAATTGCGTTTCAATTTTAAATTTTTACAAAATAGCGTAACGATAACGATTTATCCAAAACGATTTTAAATATTTGTTATTATTCAAAAAGTATAAGTCATAGATACTTGAAAAGTTTACCAATTATTTAGATTGGCATTTTCTTTACATGATTTAATTTTAAAAATATTTTGACTTTTTTTGAGATATTTATAGACAACTAAAAATTTTCAATTTTTCTTAAAAAATTTTTCTGAAATGTCGATAAAAATTTTTTAGCCCTATCAAAATACTTGAAAATTTAATACAAAGTTTCTCATAAGTTATTTTTTTATAGTGATTAAAAAATTATAAGAATACATATGCACAATTTTTTTTTTTTTATTAGCATTTGAAGTTCAAATATTAACAAAAATTCGTCAAAACCATGAATATTTGCAAATTATTTGTGGTTCAAAATTCATAAAATTGTTTGTATTTATATCTAAGGTTAAAAAATTCAACACTAAGTTTTCCATAAGTTTTGCTTCAAATAGCTGCAGAGAAAATTTTAAAAGTCATTATAGGAAAAATGTTTTGAGGGTTTGAGTTTTAAATTGTTATGAAATCACGTACCTAACGATAACGATTTATCCTCAAACCAGGTATATGTATATGTATATCTATGATAATATAAGGCATTATAAATAATGATAACTACGTGCAATGTTTTTGGAAAAATTGATTAACCATGCCTATGCAAAATGCGTCCTAA